TCTACTAATGGCAACACTTTTGTCTGCGGAACTGAGTTCTCGCCCCACATATTGTCCGCCAATTCATATGTGTCTCCGAGAAGTCCTTTCGAGACAATGAATTTGTGGTTTGATTTCGAGAGAATAGCTAACAATCGCTTCATTAGATTCACATCCGTTGAACCCATAGAACCCATTGAAAGATAAATTAATTTACTTTTCTCTATATCTCTGTCAAAGAATTTATCGGGAATTTTAAACTCTTGTTTCTCTCCTATTTTCATAAATGCGTCGACTCTTAACCACTTCTCTGGAAGTGGTCTGAGATCTGTGTAATCGAGTTCTTCGGGAAAGCCATAGATATTAAGATACGGAGACTTAAGCATTAAAGCACTATTAGTCTCAACAGTCGGTAAGCCTTTCTCTTTCATCCATTTATTGTATTTATTCTTCGCATTTGCAAACATCTGACCCGAGTCTTCCTCATATGCTTTCCATTCATCTCTGTTTCCATTTATTGAAAGACCTGTTCATATCATCGATAAGTAAAACATTTATTTTATTTAAAAGTTTTTGATAGTCGTACACAACAGACCAGAACCTGGCGGAGGTGTCCTGTCGTCGGCGATGGCAAAGAGTGGGTTCATACTGCAGACCCCAACCCACGGCCTGTTCGCGTACATCAGTGCCGGCGAACCGACAAAGTTGTCGATCACAATGACGTCCGGATTATGTTTGGCCACAAATGCCTTCATTTGGGGCTCATTTTGACGCAAAGCGTCGACAAACACCTCAATTATTGACAGGTTTTGCATTATTTTTAACTTTTTCAGCGTTGATACGCCGGACAACACTCCTGACGACAGTATACTTGTGGCCGAGTATTCCCCGGCCTTCTCACCCTTCATCTCATTGGAAGTGACGGTCTCTTCAATAAAACCAAACGGCAATAACTTTCCCGCAAATGACTGGTCGACAGCGAAGACAATTTTGTGGCCCCGACTCAGCAGTACTTCAGCCAAACCTATGCACGCATTCACGTGTCCCACACCAGGCACTGGAGCAAACAATATGGTCAGGTTTTTGCCCATTTTTACGTTGTTTAGTAGTAATTGTTTTTGTTTAATTATAATTAATTTAATTAATTAATTTGATTCCCAAAATCATTTGTATGTTATATGGTCCCAATAAAATGCTTATAATGATTAAAACTAATATAATTAAAAATTAAGTCCATATGGAAAACATTTAATTATGTAAGCACTTTTATTTCTTTTAATTAATTAGTATTTACATATAATTATTATAAGAATGTCAAATTTAATTTAACCATCATAATTTAATAATTAATTTAAGTGTATTGAACATTCCATATAATTTATAATTAAAATACATAAAAATATAAAAATGTATTTTACTTTTAAAAGCAACCTGAAATATTTATTTGGAATTAATTTTTAATATAATTTGTAGATATTAATAAATAAAATTAAAAATATAATAATAATTAAAGTTTTTTATATAAAGTTTAATGAGTAAAAGCATTAATTGATTAAAATTTTACAAATAATAATACACTTGATTAATAAAATTTTTATTTAGTAAAATTAAAAACTTTTATACTGTTAATTACAATAGTATGGATAACATCAATTTCAATAAAATATTTTTGAAATAATAATTACAATATTACCAATTGCAATATCATTAAAGAAAGCATAATGTTATCAGTCCATACACTGCATACACTGTATTATCCATTTCTGACATATTAGTTATAATTGTAATTTATAATAATTTTAAAAATAACTAATCATCATATACAACATTACAAGTCCACTAATTGGAGAATATTTAAGCATAATTAATAATTATTAATAATTACACAATTAATTTAATATTTTGTAAACAATTAATCATAAGCGTTTAAAGTATCAAATAAGTTCCAAAAGTGTCCAGGTCTAATCAAACTCTTTAAGATCAAGCATCGTGTGGTATCTATCAAGAGTTTTTGAGACATACCAATGACCGCCAATAAAATGCCGGTTGTGTTGGAGAAAGAGCCGGGTGTCCGGACTCGTCCACTCGGCGCCACACATGTCGCTAATCATACCGTCGACACACTTTTCCAGCTCCATATACTCCGCGGCAAATCGGTTCATGGATTCAGTGAGCGATATATTGTCGATCTGTGCCAATGCGGACACACAGTTGTAGGCGCGGCGCACACTCCCGGCGTCCAACACCTCCTTTTCAAAGGAGTACATGTCGTTACAGATGACAATCAAACGCGTGGTTGTAGTCAACCAGCGTTGAAATACGGGATGAGACCACTCGGGCTCCGGGACGTACAGCGCGTGCGCGTATTCTATGAGATGCAATATGAGCGGACACGCCACTGATTTGCCCCTCACCTATTGGTTACACAGCAATTACTAATTAACGCTTAAATTAACTATTTTTAAAATTATAGCCATAGCCCACACATATATTCAATTAAGCAATTAATGGGCCATTTTTATAGCGTAAGAATA